AGAACTGTGATTATAAATCAAAATCTGCACTCCAAACACACACATACACACACAGATCAAATTTATAACCTGTTTTCATCCACCTTTTATTGTGTTTCAGTTTTCTATTCAAAAGGCTGATTAATTTTCAATAAAAGAAGTGTGGAGTGCAAGTATTTTTTACCCAGAGGTTTTTCCATTTCCTTCCTCTGCGTTATTTTGAGTCTTGCTACTGAATCAGAAAGCAAGAACCCTGGAGAATATTCCAACGTTCAGCCGGTGAAATATATCAATATAGGAGAGTAACGGGAAAACGGAAAGGCAGAAATAGTGATTTCCATAATAAAACTCCTGCCAAACTCTGGAGGAGTGCACAGAGAAAATTTTACCTGCCATGCTCCCATCTGACAGGCCAACAATGTACCTCAGAACGTGAAAATGCACCGTTGTGGATTCCTAGCCACATTCAAACTGAATCCTGCAGGCCAGGGGCAGGCTCTTACACAGCAAGGCCAGAACCTGAGGCCGCAGCGCGCTCAGTGCCAGCTGCTCCTGGTGGCGTCTGCCAACTCAGGACCGTATCAGTGAAGCGGAATTTAACATTTTGTCTATAACTTCCCTGAGCTTATTAAACACTAAAGACAACCAGAGAGAGAGAACGAAAGAAACAGAGAGGGTTGCAGGCCGGCTTCCAATCACTTGCAAAGATCCTCTGCTGGTCGTGAGGATCAAGAACCGATGGAGACCAACCTGGAAGGTCCCCTGAGCAAAAACCAGTTTGGTCATAGAGAGCTTAAGTGAGCTTATTTTGCAAGACTAACTTTACCCTGGTCGTGTCGTGCTTATGCCTCTGGAAATCATGGGCAGAACTTGAACTATTTCCCAAGGTCCCTAGGAGGTAACCTCTGAAAACTCTGACGTTGTAGTCAATCACTGTAAGAACCAACAGCCACGCTTTCTCACTATACAAGCTGCCTTGGGACAACATCCCTGCCCCGAGTCTTGGGCATGTTTTGATTTCAGTGATCCCGGTTTGCAAGCTGTCTTTTCGGTGTGTGCATAGTAAATTTTACTCATACTACCTAAGTGATCCATTGGTTTTACTTTGGCTAATTCTGATCCTTTGAAAGGGTAAGCTGCTTAGAAGAAAAAGTTAAAGAAAAATGAAAAGACAAAGACAGAAAGAAAGCAGGAAAGAGAAATACAGAGACTGTGCCAGTGGGGCTAGAGAGAATGAGAGATAAGAGACAGAAAGAGAACCCAAAAGGAGGGAGGGGGAAGTGGGTGAGGAAAAGCGGGGGTAAGAGAGAGATGCATACAAATACACACTCAGGGAAGACAAAGAGAGAAGGGGAAGAAAAGTAGCAACAGAGAAACAGCAAAAGAACCAGTGACACATGCATCATGGAAAATCAAGCATCAGAACAAGCCTGGCAGGTGTGTCTCAGTGGTTGAACATCCATCCAGGAACCAAGAGGGCACTGGTTCGATTCCCAGTCAGGGCACATGTCCGGGTTTCAGGCTCTATCCCCACTGTGAGGCATTGCAGGAGGCAGCCAATCAATGATTCCCATCATTGATGTTTCTATATCTCTCTCCCTCTCCCTTCCTCTCTGAAATCAATAAAAATATTTTTTTTAAAGAAAGTGGAAAAAAGAAAAAAAAAGTGGAGAAAATATTCACACATCATATATGTGATAGGGCCTAATGTCCAGAATACACAAGTAACCCTCCCAATTCAGCAGTAAAAAAGACAACGGACGAATTACAATGGGTAGAGGATTTGAAGAGCTAGCTCTCTAAAGAAGATATACAAATGGCTAGTAAGGACATGCAGAGATGATAAATAGTATTAGGCATCAGGGAAATACAAATCAAAACCATAGTGAGGTACCCTTCACATCTACTAAAATGCCTATCAGAAAAAAACAGAGGTAACAAATATAAGCGGGGATGTGGAATCACTGCTACTGGGAGGTACCCTCGTTTTGGACAACTGTGTAGCAGTTCCACAAAATGCTAGGCACAGTTTTACCACTTGACCCAGCAATGCCACTCCTAAGTATCACCCAAGAGAAATGAAAAATGTGTCCATGCCCTAACAGGCTTGGCTCAGTGGATAGAGCGTCAGCCTGCAGACTGAAGGGTCCCAGGTTCGATTCCGGTCAAGGGCATGTACCTTGGTTGCAGGCACATCCCCAGTAGAGGCTGTGCAGGAGGCAGCTGATTGATGTTTCTAACTCTCTATCCCTTTCCCTTCCTCTCTGTAAAAAATCAATAAAATATATATATTTTTTAAAAATGTGTCAACACAACTTGTACATGAGCATTTATAACAATCTACACTAATAAAAGAGAAACATGCATATTGGTGTCACTCCGCTACACCTACCAGCCAATCAGGGTGAGTATGCAAATTAACCCAACAAAGATGGCAGTGGCCACGGAGCTGGAGGCTAGGGTTGCCCCTGGCAATGGAGGAAGCCAAGCTTCCCGCCCTCCCTGGGCACCACTCAAGGAGTGGCTGGGGGCCTGGGTGACCCAGGCTTCCAGCCTGCCCTGGCTGCCACTCAAGGGAGAGAACAACATGCAGGCGTGGTCAGGAGCCTAAGAGATTAACACAGAGAGGCGCCTGCTCCAAGCCTCCGCAGTGTGGCTGGAGGCAGGCCCCCAGCGGGGACACACACACACACACACACACACACACGGCGCGCCTACTCCGAGCCTCTGTGGCACAGCTGGGGGCAGCCACCAGTGGACACACAAACACACACACACACCGGGCACCTGCTCCGAGCCTCTGCTGCCAGACTGTGGGAGCGGGCCTAAGCCGTCAGTAGGACATCCACTGAGGGCTCCCAGACTGTGAGATGGGGCAGGCTGGGCTGAGGGACCCCCACCCCCCAGTGCATGAATTTCGTGCACCAGGCCTCTAGTGTTATTCATAATAGCCAAAAAGTGAAAACAGCCCAAATGTCCATCAACTGATGGACAAATCAAATGTGGTCCATGCAATGGAATATTACTCAGTCTTAAAAAGGAACAGAGTGCTGATACATGCTACAATATGGATGAATCTTGAAAACATTAGCTAAATAAAAAATGGCCAAAAACAAAAGGTTACATCTCATGCGCTCAGTGCCAGCTGCTCCTGGTGGCCTCTGCCAACTCAGGACCGAATCGGTGACGCGGTGTGTGTATGGGGCCGGGGTTGGGAAGCAGCAGATGAGGCTGAGGAGACATCAGGCTTGGGCCCGTCTGACCTTCAGAACAATGAGGGGGCCATGGAGGGTTTTTAAGCAGTGATGTGGCAGCATACATTGATTGTATATTAAAAAGACCAAAACCCATAGAGTGATTTGGCAGATTAAAATAGCATTAAATACACTCTAGGCACACCCATGTGAGGTGGAGAACAGGAAGAAAACCATCCAAGTCCCTCCTGCTCTGCAGGCCGGCCAGCCTTGGACTGGCTCCTCTCTGGTGATCTCCGTACAGACAGTCCTCAGGGAACCACTGCCACGCCCTCTTTAAAGGTGAGGAATATGAAGTTCAGAGAAGTGGCTTACCGAGGGGCACAACTCAACAAAGGGTACGGCTGGGACCCACCCTGCAGCAGCCTGCTACCTGACCCTCTCTCTCCTCAACGCTCCAGGGCTCAGCACAAAACAAGTGCTCATCACATTGTGTTAGCCATCAACACTCCTTCACAGGGGCTTTGTCCTATAGTAACGGGCCCCAAGCAGCAACTCAGTACCAGAGTCCTGGTAGCTTTGGGGAGAATTAACTCTGGTGAGTCACCAGATTTCCAGAGATTTCAACTACCCCACAGTGACGCACCCTGGGAGATTAAAACCTAGAGCTCTTCTTCTGTTTACTGAAGGAACAGTAAGCCCTGGAATTGAGTTCTGTCTTCCCCACCAGAAGCAGCCACTCCCCTTTTTTTATTATATCTTTTTTTAAATTTAAATATTTATGGTTGAAAGCATCACATGTGTCCCCTCTTTTCCCCCATTGACCTCTTCTAGCCCACCCTACTCCCAACCCCAGGCCTTCACCACTCTGCTCAAGCTTTTAAACCACATCTGCTACAGAAGTAATTATGCCACGGGAAAGATAGCAGGTAGATTTCAACAGGGCTTACAGATGCTTCCTCCCTTAATGATCATAAACCTTGTAAGTACCTTCAAACAAAGGCTTGAAGGTTGCACCCTCAATATAGGGACCGTCAAAATGCCTAAACCAGGCCACCTGCTCAAACCTACAATGGAGGGCGCACTAAAGGGAAAGACAAACAAACAAACAAAAAATAAAAAATAGAGGGAAAGACAAGTTATGATATCCCTATACTCTATCGCTGTGAATCCTTAAAACAAAAAACCAGTTACTTGTGCTATAAGGTTAATTAATAAGATGCAATCCTGGTTAATAAAACAAAAAGCCAGGATCTTCATTGATGCCTAGCCCTTATATAACCCATAGCAGGAATCCTTGAAACATATTATGCCAAGGAAATGAGCTGGTAATTCAGCAAAAGGAAATCTGATTTAAAAACACAGAAAAAGTATCCCATCTCCATCCACAGCAATTCAGGAACTACAAATACAACCGCTAGATTTTTGCCTATTGGTGGTTACTATTAAGTGGTCACCTTCCAAGAATGCTGGAGAGAGTGGCCAAGAGGCCATGTGCTGGTGACGCTTTCAAATGACACAACCCTTCTGGGACCAATCTGAAAATCCATAACAAAAGTCAGAAGAACAAAATATAGCTTTCATCCAACAATTCCTTTTTTGGGTATCCCATCCCCACAAATAACTAGAAACATGGGGAAATTCTATACAGGCTAGACATTCTTTGCAGCATCTTTCAGTAAAGTAAAAGTAGAAAAGAGTCCACCGGAAAGAAGTTGACTAACCTCTGGTCCACCATCTAGATGAAACATCACACAGGTGTTAGGCACTGGAGTTGTGCAGTCTATATATTGACAGAAAAAGCCTTGAGCTAGACAATTGAGGGGAAGAAGCAAGAGGCAAAATTGTACAGCATGAGTTCAACCATGTTTTCTTTACTAACTTCTTTAATAAAATTAATATGCAATATAGCAGTCCTGTTTACTGAAGTGTGAGACTGGCACATCTGGTGGATTCAGTGTTGTACTGACCAACTTCGTGGGACAAAGTCAGCTTTCCTTCATCTCTGGATAAAAATGGAACGTTAAAAGATAAGGACTGTCTCTAAATGTGAAAGCATCGTACTTTCTTATTTGAAAATTATTTCCATTAGCCTTTTGTGTCACAACTGTATGAACAATCTCATGGTTTGCAGAAAGAACATAACAAAGACTGGTGGTTGCCAGGGGCAGGGGGTGGGTGGGAGAAATGTGTGAAGGAGACCAAGAGGTTTAAAAAAAAAATTAGACCAGAACGTTTCTCCCACTACCTGTTCAGAAAGGCAAGGCATACGCTTATGCACATATTCTTGTCACGTAGTCCCTGCATTATGCGTAATGGCATTTTCAAGTGTGTGAGAGGGAAAGATCTTTTACAGGACGTCCTGTTTTCCTTGTGTCTCTAGTGAACTGGCACAGCATGTGGAAAGGGACCGAGCCTTGGAGCCCAAACCAGTGAGTGGACTTGGCTCCTTATTTAACCAATTCGGGCCTCAATTTTCTCATCAGTCAGCTGTTCCACCTTTAAATGACTTGTTATGAAGGAAAATAAATCCTTATTCTTAAAAGCCATGACTGTTACTTGCAGCCCAAATCATTTCCAGGTATCAGCGTAGTATTAATTCTTTCTCGCTTTGGATTTGTTTTGGGGTGTGTTTTTTTTCCAACCTAATTCAAAGGTGAGTGTTTGGGGCACTCAAGGCCTATCCCCTGATCAATGGTAAAAAAAAAAATACACCTGACATTTGTCCACGTGCAGCTTTGTTTGATATAGCTTTGTTAAAGAAAAAAACCACAGGCCCAAAATGGCATGATGCCAAACCTAGATTTAATACCTAGACTACCTGGAATTTCAACCAGAAACACAGTCAAGCAGCCTGGAATTTGCTGGCTGGCCCTCTCCATCCCCTTAGAAAGAAGAGGCAATCTACAGAATAAAAACCCTGCCCCATCTCTTCCCACAAAGAAAAGCTGTCAGAAGCTCACTTGGCTGGAGCTTTGTCCAGTGCGCGGAAGCACTGCAGGTTTGATTCCCGGTCAGGGCACATGCCTGGGTTGCAGGTTCCATTCCTGGTCAGGGTGCATATGGATGGAAGGCAACCGATCCATGTTTCTTTCTTTCTTTCTCTCTCTCTCTCTCTCTCTCTCTCTCTCTCTCTCTCTCTCTCATCAATGAAAAACATATCTTTGGGTGAGGAAGGGGAGGGGAGAAGAGGGGCGAAGGAGAGAGGGGAGGATAGGGGAAGGGAGGGGAGGGGAGGGGAGTCCAGGCCCCAAAACAATCCTTTCTTTTCTGTCACTAACAGCTCCCTTGCCCATCCTTCTTCCTATAAAATCTTTCCGCTTTGTATAAATCCTAGGAGTGCCTTCTAGTTGCTAGATAGGATGCTGCCCAATTCGTGAATCTTGTAATAAAGTTATTTAGATCTTCAAATTTATTCGGTTGAAGCATACTGGCATTTCCACTCATGTGGAACGGGCCCTCCCAGCATCTGGGCAAGGATTAGGGACCCATTAACAGAGCAGGCCAGTGTCGGAAAAAGGGGTACATCACTACAGAAAGAGGGCTGGTTTGAATTATGCTATCTTGCCGCTGTGTTTACAAAGGAATCTTTTGGTACTGCAGAGGGCTGAGCAGATGGGTTACTAATGAAGAAAATGTGATCGCTTATTTGAAAAATAAAAACTATTTTTTGCAACTGGTAAATCACTGCTTGACTTTTTGCCCAAAGAGGAAGCCAAAAACAATGTTTCTCAAGTTTAAGAATCAGTTCCTGAGTCTAAAGAACAACTTCAAAGCCATCTTTTGGGGCACTTTGCAAGCAAGTTTGGACAATGAAAGCTATCTAACTTTTAAAGTGTTTTGGTTTTTAATTTAGACATCTTAGAACAAGAGCCTGCAAACTGTCCTCCATTCCATAATTCATTCATGCGTACGTCCAAATTATATTTATTGAACATCTACTATGTGCCAGGCACTGTGCTGGTTCTTTGGGTGTGCAGCCAATAGCACAAATGGGATTCCTGCCACCATGGAGTTTAGGCATTAGCAGAGAGACTGAAAACAAGCCAAACAACAAATAATCAAATTATGCGAAGTGCTCTCGGGGACATAACTGGAATGCTGAGACAGAGAAGACAGGGGGCTTCTTGGGCAGGACAGCCAAAGAGGTTCTCTCCAGGGAAGTGAGGGGCCCAAGGCCAGCCCTGAGGAAGGAGGAGCAGAAGCTAGCGCTGCCCACCCCGCATTGGGGGGGGGGGGGGAGCATTCTAAACACGGAAGATACAGGAAGACTCAGAGAACTCACTGGAGACTCCCTGGGGTATCCCCTGGGGTTGGTAATGTACATGACTATCGCTGGTTTTGCAATGAACTGCTCTGGCTCTGACTGACCGTGTGGCCTCAGGCAGTCGAACCTCTGTGCTCCTCAGCTTTCTCACCTGCACAGTGGGGAGACTGAGGGAGGCTGAGATTTTGGTCTGTCCCAGCCCTGAGGTGGGAAGAGCTGGGCCTGCTCCAGGAACTTTAAACAGGCCAGAGGGCAAAGAATAGCTGGCAAGGAGGCAAGGGAGGCACAAAACAGGTGGAAGGTGAACAGGGCCAAGTCAAGCAGGCTCTGACAAGTCATGGGAAGGAATTCAGATTTTATTTTCATTGCAACGGCAAGCCACTGAAGAGTTTTAAGCAGGGAAATTTTGTAGAATCGTCCCTCGGTATCCACAAGGGACTGGTTCCAAGACCCCCTGTTAATACCAAAATCTGTGATGCTCAAGTCCCTTATATAAAATGGTGTAGTATTTCCATACACATCCTCCCTCATAGTTTAAATCCTGTCCAGATTACTAATACCTAATACAATGTAACTGCTATGTAAACAGTTGTTATATTGTATTATTTAGGGAATAATGACAAGGAAAAGAAAGCCTGCATGTTTCACACAGAGCGGCCATAGTAGGCCTAACTGCTTAGTACATGTCAGCAACATAAGGTTTTTTTTCAAATATTTTCTGGGATTGGTTGAGTCTGGGAACAGATGGACGTACACAGCAGAAACTGTGGATATGGAAGGACAACTGTTTTAAAGATGGCTCTAGTCCTGGCCGGGTGTTCAGTGGTTAGAGCATTCGCCCACAGACCAAAGGCCACTGTGTTCCATTTCCAGTCAAGGGCAGGTACCTGGGCTGCAGGTTCAACCCCCGGCTCTGGTCAGGGCACATACGGAAGGAAACCAACCGATGTGTCTCTCTCACACCTCTCTCGCTCCCTCCCTTTCTCCCTCCCTCTCCCCTCCTTTCCTTCCACTCTCTCTTAAAAAAAATCAATGGAAAAAATATTCTCAGGTGAGGATTAACAAAAATAAAAAATAATAATAAAAGATGGCTATGTTGCGGAGAATGGGGAAGAGCAGGAGCAAGAATGGAAGCGGGGAGACTGGGATGGTGCTGTGGTAAGAATCTTAGGCTGTGGTGGAGGTGCAGTAAAGTGGCTGAACTCGATCTCAAGTGTCTGCTCTAAGCAATTACTCAGGACACTGTTTGAGATGTACTATGAAGTGTGGACAGGCCTCACTGGAGGAAAGCATCCAGTTTGATTAGTGATGCCTGCCACAGCAACGGGAAAAGAACAGCAGTAGCGTGTGTCAAACTCTATCCTCCGTCTGTCTAGAGCAGGGGTGGGCAAACTTTTTGACTCGAGGGCCACAATGGGTTCTTAAACTGGACCGGAGGAGGGCCGGAACAAAAGCATGGATGGAGTGTTTGTGTGCACTAATATAAATTCAAAGTAAACATCATTACATAAAAGGGTACGGTCTTTTTTTTTTTTTAGTTTTACTCATTTCAAATGGGCCGGATCTGGCCCGCGGGCCGTTGTTTGCCCACGGCTGGTCTAGAGGAACTTCGAGCAGTGCTTCTCTCACTATCATGTGTGCAACTCACCCGGAGATCTTTAGTTAAAGTGAAGAATCTGAAAGAGTGCGGCTGGCCTGAGAGTCTGCATTTCTGACACTTTCCCAGGATTGAGGCCAATGCTCTGTGAACAGCGAGGATCTAGAGGACTTACTCTTTTCCCCAAAAAAATTTGTACAGGATGAGCACCAGCTCCTGGGCTTGACACAGAAGGTTACTCAACAATATTCATGAACTGTGCTGGGGTTGGGATGGGGTGGAGGGGTGTTGGTGACTTTCAGCATCAACTGCTATAAAAAGAACTCTAAAAATCCCAGGTGGCTGACCAAAAAAAGCATCACCCTAGAATATGACCAACATCACATGTATGCATTGTACGTCTATGGAGTTGCAACCTCATCCTGACTGAACTGAAGATCATTTGGGGGGGGATAAGGGGTTCAAAAAAAGGAGTGAGGAAAATGCAAAGGCTAGAAATCTGCTTAACAGAACTGGTTCTGAGGACGATGACAGGGTTAAGCTCTGAGGAATGAAGGGAAATATGGTAAGGAAAGAGTTGCCCCTGCTAGATCCACAGAAGAGTGGCATTGCGCCCCCTGCTGGGGCCCCGCTGTGCTGCATTATGACAGCAATGCTGGCTCTTACAAAAGCCCCAAAGGGGAGTTTGCATCCTGTGTTTGTTCTCCACCACAGTCCTGATCCATAATCCCAACTAATATGAGCAGCAGCCAAATCCAAATCTCCCTCCCAAAGACAGATCCAATCAGCTGGGAATCAAGGATCACAGCCAGACCCTGCCTGCAGATGGAATCAGCTGGCCAGTGGGCTCCGTGCTAAATAAATGTGCCTAAAGCCTGAGGGCTCAGTGCAAGGCACTCAGCATCCCTGGACACCAAGGTCCCCTTTCCAAAGTCAGCAGAGACCCGCGGTGCAATGCAGGCCCAGTCACCCCAAGAACTGCCTGCCTCCTAGAAGTCATAGGCTACAATTTTTTCACTCTCTCTCTCTCCCTTTTAAACTCACAGAATTACCTAAGCCTTAATTTTTAAAGAGCTTACCTTAATCGTGCACATTCATTTTCTGGGGGCCATTAAAAAATCATGAGAACATTCCTGTTGCCGCGCAGTGATTCATGCTCCCCCCAGCACAAACCTCACTTGTGGGCCTCTGCTGGTTACAGCATCCCAGACTCCCAGACAATATTAATTCAATTTATTCTGCACCTTTGCGAGTGGCTGCCTATTAACATTAAACACATACAGCGCTTTTCAGGTCGCCAGAATGTTGAACATGACTGTTCTTTAGATAATGTGAGAACTAAAAGATTAATCATCACCAGGATTAATTATTAGGAATGAGTGGGACAGCAAAGAAGTCATTTGTATGCGAGGGATTCCATACCGTGGTGAATCTGCCTCTTGCTAGAATGCCAAGGGATGAGAGCTGGATGCCAGCTGGATTCCAAGTGTAAAACACTGAACTCAATTGCTTCATCCGTCTAATGGGTTAGTTAAAAGGCAGGGACCGCTTCATTACCTCTGGCGCTTTACTGTAGAGTAAACTACAATGAGGGTGCCAAAGTTAATGCAGTTTTTTAATAGATCGAGGACGGCTGGCTAAGTTTAGAACTAAGCAAAAGATGACTTCTTTGCTGAGATCTGGTCAGATCCCTATGTCAGCTTCCCAGATATTCAGAAAGCAACCTTTAACCTTCCATGTTCCCTCTGCCTCCATCCTGCACCTGGGCTGACCCAGACGCCTACTGCAAAGTTTACGCGCATGCAGAGCCAAGTAAGCAGACATCGTTACTGCGGGAAGGACAATCTGAACCAAAAATCAAGCTCACAGGAAGGGCAGGTACATGTTTTAAGAGGCAGTCTAACACCAACAAATATCTGCAACGCATTGGCAAACTACACCGTGAGTGGAATCTTATTTTATTGTAATAACCGTACATTTTAGGAAGAAGAGATGGTGGTGATGGTGGTGGTGGTGGGAGTGAAGGAAGAGGAGGGAGCAGAGGAAGAGGAAGAGATGAAGATGAGGAGACAGACAATCTTCAAGGCCTAAAATACTATCGCACTTCCACAGAAAATGTTTGCCAACCTCTGGCTCTAAGATATAATAAAAGGTCATTTTATTTCTTGTCATTTGAAGGCATAATGAGGTTTGTGCACATTTTGGAAGAAAGCCAAACACCAAGAGGGCTGCCTAGATACAAAGAGAGGAGGACGCCAAGCCATCGCATGCTACAGTGACACACGAGACAAAGAGTGGTGGGTCCACACCAAATTGGGGCATTGAAGTAGGTGGCACCCAGAACCCTAGATGGGAAAGAGGGCAAAGTCAAAACAGTAACAGAGGAAGGAGAGACGTCTGCACAAATAAGTGCAAGCTTGACTGAGAGCCTCTCAGGTGGAGAGCAGGCCTTTCTCCCAGCGCCGCGGCTACCAATCAGTGGACACTGACCAGCAGCCTCGCCTCCCTAACACGCTGTGGGATCTTGGGCGAGTGGCCAGCTCTGTCAATGTTTCCTCATTGGCAGCGGGAGCTCATAGGAGCACTGGCGTGAGGATTGAATGAGTAAGTGGACAGTTCTTCACATAGTGCCTGGCACGGTGTGAGCACCCCATGAACGTTAGCTGTTCTATCACGCTGCCCACCGAACATTCTGCTGTGTGGTTCAGCTCAGACAGAGAGATGGGGGAGTCCGCTCCACTGGCTTTGCTTGCAAGTTCTGTGGTCAGTGATGGCACCCTGTTAACCAACCCCTCTCTCTCAGGGTTTCTTAGAGCCCCCAAGGAAGGATGGGACCCCCAGAGTGAACGGTAGAAATGAGGCATCACTAACAGAGACCCTGGAGAGGCAGGCAGGGCTAGGCCAAGTGGGGCCCTGGACACCATGGCTTTATAACAGATGCTGCTCAAGTCTTCTCACCCCGTGTTTCCCCACAATGTTGCTGAGGTTAATCCTAGCAAGTTTGGCCTCCGTTAGCCGTCAACATCCCTCACATCCATCCTTTGGTCATGAACGCGATGAGGCCCTGATTTCCAAGGCCCAATCACCCAGACACTGGCCCTGCCACTTGGCCACAGCTTGCTGCCCTCCCATCTCCCCTCCCCACCAGCTTTCTCTGTTAGTGATGAGCTTGCCATTCTCAGAACTATTAAAAATTACTACAGCATTCCTGGCAGAAAATGCTGAGTGGAATGGAGGAGGAGAGAAAAAAAGTCCCCTTGATGAGAGTCATATATGGGCAGGAGCTACAAACAATTCGGGGCGCTAAAATTAATTCGCTCCCTTGCCAACTTGCCAATGAAGAGAGGGTGAGCATCGAGGCAGACTGTAATAAAAACGTAGTGTGTACAGCACATATTTATTCATTTTTAGAAAATCTTCAATGCTGCTACCCTCCTTTTCCCATAAAATCTGACCATCCTACTCAGCTTCTATTCTTATCCCTTGCTCATTTGCGTAATTTTAACACTGCAGAATATAGCTAGCCTAAGAATGTTTTTTATAATTACACCCATCACAGGAACTGTCAGTATCTAATGAAGGATAATTTCAGCTATTATAAGAAGCTTAAAAGATCATTTTCATGAATAATTCGTAATATGAATCATTAAATTCAAACAATGTCAGAAATTTCAGGAAAAAAAAAGAAAAGAAAAATATTTTAGGTATGGACAGTACCCATCCCTCTAAAGGCAGAGTGGAGCTTCTGACGTGCAAGAAACAACACAACACAACACAGGGGAAGATCTTTTGTGAGGGGACGGAACATGCAGATCAGCTCATGTCACTTCCCACTTTACGTTTTTCACCAGGTCCCCCAGGCCTGAGGATAAACCCATGCCTCCTAGCAAGTCGCATGGAGTGCTCCTCTGACCCCTGCCTGTCTCTCCGGCTCATCTCTCCCCTCTTCCTCGCTCTGACAAAGTAAACCTGTCTGAAAAGTAAAACAAACCTACGCTAGAAGCAGAACAAAGAGGGAGAGAGACATATCGTCCTGATAAATTGTGTGCACACCTGGATCCAGCCATACCTGCACTGCACCCTGTGCTTCTTAGTTCTATTGTTTTCCAAAGGGAGAAATGCTCTATTACTGAATAAGGCTTCAGACTGCAACAGATCTTGAGGGAATCACATTTCTCATGGCTGCCTAGGCCAAAGCTCACAGAGCACTAAGCAGTGGACACGGTGGGAGTTCAGGCCAGGCATGGGATAGTGTGTGTGTGTGTGTGTGTGTGTGTGTGTGTGTGTGTGTGTGTGTGTATATGTGTGGTGCACGAAATTAGTGCACTGGGGTGGGGGTGGGGTCCCTCAGCCCGGCCTGCCCCCTCTCACATACTGGGAGCTCTTTAAGGAAAATAAGCCAGTCAGCTAAAGATAAGTATCACATGATCTCACTCATTCATATGTGGAATCTGATGAACAAAATAAACTGATGAACAAAATAGAACCAGAGACATAGAAGCATGGAAAAGACTGACAAATCTCAGAAGGAAGGTGGGGGTTGGCGAGGGAGAGATTAACCGAGCAACTTCTATGCATATATGCATAGCCCATGGACACAGACAATAGTGTGGTGAAGGCCTGGGGGGTGGGGGGGAAAAAGGGCAGGGTGAAGGGGGTCAGTGGAGAGGGGGGACATCTGTAATTTTTCAACAATAAAGATAAATTTTAAAAAAAACTTTACAGCTAGAAAATGGTCCAAAGTAAAAAGAGTAATAAGTCATGGAAAACCAAGAAAAATTTTATTCTCCTCTGGGAGACCAAATGACATATAAAGAATAGCTTAAAGCTTAAGATGTACGCCTGGGATCCACTGTTAATTGAGCCAGGAATTAGTTACTGTCCATGTGGATCTTACACATGCACTGGCGGAGTTCACGCTATCTGGTTACTGTCCACACCTTACACAAGGACTGGCTGAGTCCATGCCATCTGGTTACTGCCCACACCTTACACATGGACTGGATGAGTCCATGACATCAAGTTACTGCCCACACCTTACACACAGATTGGCGGAGTTCACGCCATCTGGTTACTGTCCACAACTTACACATGGACTGGCTGAGTCCATGCCATCAAGTTACTGCCCACACCTTACACACAGATTGGCGGAGTTCACGCCATCTGGTTACTGCCCACACCTTACACACGGATTGGCGGAGTTCACACCATCTGGTTACTGCCCACACCTTACACGTGGACTGGCTGAGTCCATGCCATCCTAAAACAACATGACAGAGAAGCAGAGATGTAGATGTGGGGCTGACTCTAGTTTAATCAAATGCTCTGGGCACTGACCAATAGCTGAGCAACAGGACACAGGCCCATGTTAAATCTAATCCTTCATGCTGCAAGGCCACCCCAGATTCACGGGGAAAATTAAGCTTGGGACACACAAAAAACTGACTACCTTTCTTCTTAAAAATAAAAGATGACTGTATCACCCAAACAGGGAGAGAACTTCAACGTGTTGAGTCGACACCACTGTTCACATTTTACTTCTCCCCATTTCTCCAGTGAAACTGGTCTCATTACCGCCATCGCTAGCAAAGCCGGCACCATTATCTCCCACTTGTTCATCAGAGGCAGAGTAGCTGCTAATTCAGACATGTGGCAGAAACAGCTAATGTCCCCTAGTAGCCATTCTTTCTTCCTTAACAATAAAAATGCCAGATTTTGGCTGGGCATGTGGTGGTCTGGGTGGAAAACCAAGATTATGCTCCCCTGAATCCCCTGCAACTAGATGTGGCTACATAAAAGTGTCACAAGCAAACTGCAGAAGAAAAGATTAGTGAACTTGAAGACTTAGCGATAGAAACTATACAAGATGAAACATACAGAGAGGGAGAAAAGAAAAAGGCTAGGTAACCTGCCCAAGGTCACACTTATGGCAAAGGGCAGAGCCAGGACTTTCTGGGCCAAACCACAGTCTACACCTTCATGTTCTAACACTTCCCGTACCCGCTGCCTTCGTGAATGCTGACCGGTTCTCATCTGGAAAAGTGGTGAGGAAGGAGGCAAGACAGCAATAGCCACCTTACATCCCATCAAACCCGCTTTCTGTCATCTTGGCACGTGTTGCCAGCAAGCACTTGACATGATTTACATTCACTTTGTACCACTGCCTGACTTTCTTATTAAAAACCTTATCAATTTTTTTTTTATGCCATCAGCTTTCTTCTTAGCTCATGAAGAAGTCTATGTGTCAAGTAAGCGGGCTGGGGGTGTTTATCCCAAGAGTGTTCACAGAGCAAAGAGCTATACTGATCTGGGGGAATATAGTGCTAAATTCTAATAATGCTGGAGGGTGTGTAAATGATTTTTATTTTCTCTTTTTCTGCTTGTCTCTATCTTTTTTAATTCTCTAGAATGACTATGGCTTCATTTTTTAACAAGGAAAGTAAACACAAATGGTTTTCCAACAATAAAGTCTCTGAGAAATAATTTGAAGGCAGACTGCTTTCGGCCCCTGGGTGTATGTTTGGTTATTGTCAGTTCCAAGCCTTCATTTACTCAGAAGGAAGCC